ACTCTGGTCTTTCTAACTTTGTCTAATTCTCCATCTACTGTGCCAACTAGCTGTCCTTACAACTCTTTCTGAGAATTTAGCAGAGAAAGGGAGGTGAGATGTAGATAGGATAATTTGAAAGGATGGCAAGGTCAAGTGAAGGATTTTTTGAGTTTGTAACTTTTAAAAATTGTCACTGATATCTTTTGTTTTTATATCACCTTCCTTTCACACTATATGCCATTCCTCTCCTCCACCGAAGAGCAATATAACAAAGGCGGGGGAAAGTTCTTCAGATATAACCAACACACAGAGCCAAACAGTATGTACAACATTCTGCACTAATACCCACAGCTCTTTACTTCTACAATAGAGAGAGGTGCAGTCTCTTCTCTCTTCTTTGGGGCCAAGTTTGATCATCATAATCATACAGCATTCAATTTAGTGGATGTGTTCTTTCCATTTACATTGTTACAGGGTATACTTTTTACCTTGAGTACTTGTGTTGAGGTTTAGAAGTTAGGGGTGCTGGAACCTCAAAATCATGACACACGGGTTCTGCCCAAAAGTATTCGACCCAAGCCTTCTTTCAGCCAAAGACAAAGTTTATTAAAGATGAGCCATATAGGCCAGACTCTTAAGGAATCTGAACATTTGTGACACTTGTAAGGATGAACAGGCATGAGGAAGTCTCAGGCCCTAAATGGTGGCAAGGATGGATCTTACATACAGAAAGACTATGGAAGGGATCTAGGAGTGGTCAAGTAGTTTGGGGTGCCTGGAGAAGGGGCTGGGAGAAGGGTTGTCTTGATGGGTGTGGCCAGTAAGCTGGGGTGACGGGAGGGTCTAGGGAGGATCTTGTTGGGAGTGACTGGGAGGTTGAATAGGCCATCCAGGAATAGACAATGGAGGGCTAGGCTTAATTAGGGTAACAAAGAATTGGAAGATTGGGCCTAGGAGATAAAAAATGGCTATTTGAGTGGATTATCAGGCAACTGCTTGAGACTTCCCTCACCAAGTGAGTTCAAAGAAAGTTCAAGGGTTTCCTGGGGCTGGCAGACAAAGTGGACCCAAATTCTTTTTGGGGTGAGGGGCAAAGGTCTCAGCTTGGGCCCACATCCCATCACTTGTACTGAAGTAGACTCAAACTATATATGGGATTCACCATGTAATCTTTGGGTGGGAGCAAGGACCCAAAGAGATTGGTATTTTGAGTCAGAGCCTAAAATTGGACCTGATATGAGCCCAGAATTTTTTTGGGGGGTGTCTTGGCCATCAGCATGATTATGTGACTTTTTCAAAAGGGTTTCAACAGCATAGGAGCAGGAGGTAAAAGGGGAAATGATAGGGATGACCCAGGTTTAAAGATTGCTAGGTTATAAGCAGCTGTAGGAAAAGAGAGCAAGGGATTTTGGAGAATAGAATACAGGTGGGTGGAGGTCAGTGTATATAGTTCAATTGCTAAACTATTGAGGCAAGGCAGTGAAGTGAGGAAATTGAGGCCAGAGCATTATTTAGGGATGGGGAAAAGAGGAAGATGTGGAGGGCCTGGAAATCATGGGGCTTAATAAATACTTGTTGATTGATTGCTTGATCTCACCATCACTGTTACTACCAATTCCATGATCTTGAATTCTGAAATGCTTGTGTATGATAAAAAAAAAAATCTCCTAGACCTTCCAGCCTTAGCTCACTCCTAGACATTCATCCTCATTGACCTTCACTGTGATTTTCTGGGAACACAAAGACAAAAAATGAAACAGTTCCTGCTCTCAAGGAAGGCATAGTCGATAAGACTGCTAGACTTGGAATCAGGAAGACTTGAGTTTGAATCCTGCCTTAGGTGAGATAACATGTGCATTAATAAGCATACACAGAATAAATACAAGGTGGTGGGGAAAGATACTGCTTGCTTTTGGGAGGATTAGGGAAGGGATGTGGGACTTCCAGTGCAAAAGCACGGAATAGGTGAAGGAGTGTCCTATGTGAGAAACAAAGAGATCAATTTAGCTGGACTGCAGAGTATGTAAAGTAGTAAGTAATGGGGCTGAAAAGATAAATTATGATCAGATTGTGAAAGACTTTAAAACAAAGGATTTTATAGTCGATCCTAGAAGTAACAGGGAGCCATGGGAGTTTATTAGAGTGACATGATCATACCTGGGCTTAAGGAAAATTTTTTTGCAGCTGTGTGAGAATGAATTGGGATTGGGGGAATTTTGAGGCAAACCATTAGGAGACCACCTCAATAGGCTGAAGCTGATGAGGGCCTCAACTAAGACAGTGACTGCATGAACAGTGGAACCCAAAGTCCATTGGCATGGGACCTTCTCCTCACTGGTGGAGATCAATGCCCTGGTCACATTTGAAGGGCAGGGTGTAGTTGATGAGAAGAGAAGAGAGAGTTCTAGTCTGCTCAGGTTTCTTCACTTTCTTTGAATAAGACACTGGGAAGAAGCCAACATAAGAGAGAGCTCCTAGATCTCATCCAAGGGGAAGTTCCCTAAAGTCTCTAGTATAGCAAAGTGGGGATAGGGACATGATGGAGATTGTCAGCTCTCAGGTTGGTTTCTTCCCAGAGTTGTCTTATTTTCACTTCAGCAACCTTAAGTAGAATTGGCAAAATCAATCTTCTCTTTCCAAACTAAGCCAGAAGCAACTCAAGAAATTTGAATAAAGAGAAGAGACCCGAAGGCACTCAACAGACACTGAAGAGACCTGAATGTATGGGAGCTCTCCTCTCTCTGCTTCTCACCAACTCCACCCTACCCTGTTCATTGTTCAGTTGTGTCCCACTCTTCATGACCTCCTGCACCATACTGTCCATGGGGTTTTCGTGGCAAGGGTACTGGAGGTTTGCCATTTCCTTCTCCAGTGGATTAAGCCATACAGAGGTTAAGTGACTTGCCCTCGGTCACACAGCTATTAAGTGTCTGAGGTAGGATTTGAACACAGGTCTTCCTGACTCCATGACTCTATCCACTGCCCATCCATGGGAAGGCATTGACCTCCACCAATAAGGAGAGTATGTAATACCAATGGGCTTCAGGACTCCCTTTTAGTGAGAAGTGGTCCTAGGCAGCTAGATGGCTAGACTTAGAAGAATCAGTAAGACTTAAGTCTGAATCCTGCCTTAAGATATTTTGGCCCTGGGCAAGTCACTTAAAGTCTCTCAGCCTCCATTTCCTCATCTGTCAAATAGGGATAATAATAGTATCTACCTTGCAGTGTTGTTGAGATGTATGTATGTATGTGTGTGGGCATATATATGTGATTATAACAGCTAATATTTATATTGTGCTTTAAGGTTTGCAAAGTGATACATACAAATGATATATATTTATATAAACGATATATATAAATGATGATAAGATTTGCAGTGATATATAATTTAGTATTTGTACACATAAATGACACAGATACACAAATAACTAACATCTATGTGGTGTTCATAAGTGATATATATGTATATGTGAATGATAACTAATATTTATACTGTGCTTTAAGGTTTGCAAACTTAATACACAAATGATATATATATAAATAAATGATATATATAAATGATAGCTAATATTTATATTGTACTTTTAGGTTTGCAATGATATATAAATATGTATTTATACACATAAATGACATAGATACCTAAATGATAACATTTCTATCGTGTTCATAAGTGATATATAAATACATGTAAATGATAACTAATATTTATATTGTGCTTTAAGGTTTGCAAAGCAATTAGCTATTATCATCATCATTTAATCAGCCTTACTACTGTCATTTAGTCCAACCTCCTCCTCTTACGGATGAGGAAATCGATGATTTGAGAAGTTAGGTGGCTTGTATATGTATGGCTATACAGCGCCTAAGTGTCCGAGGCAGGATTTGAACCCAGAGGACTGATACAAGATGTTACGGAGACAGGAATAACAAGCTCTGGCAATGGATCGATAATCGGCACACTGAGGAGTGGGGAAGGCTACAAGGTCTGAAGGACGTTTGGCGTGCTCACAGGGGGTAGGCTGCCATCAGCGGCACCATTCGCGGCGGTCGTTCCCAGGGCTAGTTCCACCAGTCCTTCCCGCCCTGGGAGGGGTAGTACATCTCTAGAAACCTTGGTTCCGTAAGCTGACACAGGCGGCAGCCAAACGTGAAGATCGCGGCATCTTCTTCCGGGTCAAAAGGAAGACATCTTTCTAAAGGCTCACCCTAGAGACCAACTCCCCTACGAGTGACCCGCAACTACTCGGGATGGCTTTTCCCATCAGCCCCCGGGGCCGCCGGCTCCGTTTCCACCGGCGTGGTGAATTCTGGGGTTTGAGTGCCCTCCTAACCCGGTGGAGTCTACGATTCTCAACCCCACAACTCCTAGGGCAAACGCATCATCCCCTGTCACGCATGGCTGCCCCTACGGCGCGCAGCCGCAGAGCCACGAATATCCTTCCCTCCGGCTTCCCCAGTCCGTTAGGCGGCAGCAGATTTCGTGAACGTCACGCACATTTCTGAACGCCGATCGGCCCCGCTCCCGTGTGCTGAGAAGAGCTGGTGGCGGGGAGGAGAAGGGGCGTTTGGGAATTATAGTTCTCAGGTTTCATTGGGTAAGGGCGCGCCCCCTGCCTGGGCTCGGGGTGGAACTTCAGTTCCCGGCCTTCTGCCCAGAGTAGGAGGGGCCTGTAGGAAAAGGGGCGGAGAGTTGAGAAAAAAGGTGGGAGGAGCCATGAGAGAAGCCTAGCCGAAGGGGTGGGGCCTCGTGTAGCTGAACCGCCGTTGCCTCCGCCTCCGCCTCCGCCGGGGGTCTGGGAAATCTTCCCCGAGAGTCCGCGAGGATCCTGTCCACGCACGCGGGGGTCAGGCAGGCGGGTGCACGCGCGCGCACTGTCTTGGAGAGGGTGGTCGCGCGGGGGAATCCCCTCCCCACCTGCGCCTCCGTCTCCCGCCTTCTCCCCAGCCTTCCTCCGACCCCGGGACGCCAGGGAGCCCGGCGCGGTGGGGGCGCGAGGTGGAGCGGGCGGGGGCGGCCAATGCGAAACTGGCTGGTGCTGCTGTGCCCGTGTCTGCTCGGGGCCGCGCTGCACCTCTGGCTGCGGCTGCGCTCCCCGCCACCCGCCTGCGCCTCCTCCTCCTCCTCCTCCTCTTCCTCCTCCTCCGGGGCCGGCCCTGCAGGTGAGCCTCGGGAAAGGTGAGGTGGGGCGGGGGGCGGGTCTCAGCGCCGCGGGGGGAGGGGCAGGGGCCGGTTCCGAGCCTCGTCTGCCCCCCCCCCACCCTCCTCGCTTTACCACCGAGATTTGCAGGAGTGAGGGAGACCGCAAAACAGTCACAATAGTGACGACCAACCTTCTGCAGCGCTTTAAACCTTGGCAGGAGCTTTCTCATCTGATCCTAGAGTAAAAGCCACGTACCGGCGAAAGCTAATATGTGTGTTTTTTCTTATTCTCCATACAGAAAACCTCGCCGGCGGGAGCGATCTCTGCTCCCTTTCCTTCCAGCCTTTTTTGCACACATGCATGCACACGCATACACACACGTAATCACTACTGGAAGTCCTTCCTTCGCCTGTGTCCAGGCTGGCCTCGTCCGACTTGCTCAGGGCCAGCTTTGGGCTGTTCTAGACCCCATTTCTCCCTAAGCTCAAAGTTTGTTTACACAGGATTGTTGGGACCCATTGCAACCTTCCTTTAAAAAAAAAAAATCTGGTTTTTGTGTGAAGAATAACTGCTGTAAGTGTTGTAGTTTTGTTTTGTTTTTTTTTGCATGCTTGAGAGAGTTGAAACGGATCCAGACTTGAAATAGGCATGGCTCTGGTGGAAGTTCTGTTTCAATTTAGTTCTCAGGTTCCACCAAATAGAGTATAAATGAAAATAGTCAAAGTCCTTTTTTATTTGATCATATCCATGTTTTGGTGAAGTATTTCTTTTAAAAAGAAATTCTTTGCTCTTGAGCACAAGGTCTTTGGCCCTGGAAAACAGTATTCAGGCTTCGGTTAATCAAAACATTTTAAGAAGAAAAACTACGATTAGGAAAGAAAGTTGTGATTGTATAAGAATCCTTTAGAGTGGTTAGGGAGCATATCTGTTGTTTTATGTTTAATTCTTCTGGGAAATTATCCATTATCCCCTAAAAAGTAGAATTCTCTGGTAACCAAAAGTTTATAAGACAAGAATGGAATATTTGGGAATCCTTAACTGTTCTGACTAATTAGTGATAATTCTTAGACCTTGATAGGTTAACATTTTTTGGTTATTGTTTTGATTCTGTTTCCCTGAAAGAAGCAGTACAAGCAAGTTGAAGAGGCTTCTTTGTGTTGCCCTTACGATTAAGTCCTGTTCAAATAGGATTTGATGACATATCTAGTGTTGCAGTTCTTTTAAGTTCCATGGAAAAAAGATTTTTAAGTTTCTCCAAATTGGAATGAGCAGTAATTTATCACACTTAAGGATCAGTAATGCCCTGTGCCTTCTGCTAGGTTTCTACTTGGTTTCCTTTATGGGCTTTTTTTTTTTTTTAATAGCATGATGTACTCATAATGTTAGTCAGCAGGTATTTATGGAATACCCTCTGGGTGTATATGCCCTTACAAGGTGCTTGGGGTGACATAAACAAGAATAAGTAAACTTTATGCTCATAATTTAGTTGTTGGTGGTATTGTTCAGTCATGTCCAACTCTTCATGACACTGAAGACCATAGCACACCAATATTTTCCATGGGGTTTTCTTGGCAGAGATACTAGAGTGGTTTGCCATTTGCTTCTTCAGTGGATTAAGGCAAACAGGTTTAAGTGACTTGCCCAGGGTCACACAGCTAGCAAATGTCTGAGGGTGCATTTGAACTCAGGTCCTGACCCCGGGCCCTACACTCTATCTACTGTACCACCTTGTGCCCAGGTGTCATTAATTAGCATAGAAGAAAATAGCCTTGTAAGCTTCATAACCTCTAAAAATGATTATTTTATATCTAATCCAGTGATGCCCTCATGTACTAATGTATCCCAATATAATAGGGTCATAGAACCTTTGAATTTGAAGGTTATTTAAAAGTAGTTTAATTCAGAATCCCACCCAATGCTGGAGTTTCTTTTATGGAATCTCACTTGGTAATCCTACCTCTGTATGTAAGGTCAACCACAACAGTAACAATCTCTCCAGAGGAAACCCATTCCTTTGTTGGACAACTCTAATTGAGATAAACTTTTGTTTTTAGGTAGATCTGCCTCCTGGTGATCAACCTTTGGCCCCTGCTGTGCCCTCTTGGTACAACATAAAACAAATGTTTTACCTTTTTCCATGTGGTAAATCTAAAGCTGTTTAAAGGCTGCTGTTATATTTCCATAAAGGAGGGGTAGATTTGCTTAAGGCATGGCCCTATGCAAGTCCAAGGAACCTGAGAACTTTGGAGAGCTGGACCACTTCCTAGTGGATTAAACACTAGGGTAATTGAGGGAGTGGGCTAAGAGGACCTGCAGGAGTCCGGACCAGGAGTCAAGAGGATCTGCCTTAGACACTTAACTAGGTGGTCCTGGGTTTTTCTTTGTGGGCTTGTTTCCTTATCTGTAAAAAAAGAAGGTGGGATTTGAAGGAAGCTGGCTCCTTAGGTGGAGTTTAGGAGGGAGAACGTTCTAGGCATGAAGAAGCTGTGGTAGGCTTGCTACTTTTCTTTACCTCTAATGTTGTATTAATTTTTACAAATCTGGTTTCTGTAAGAGAGATAGTCTTATGGAGACTGCATATTGCCATTTATAGGTATGCAAGAGAATATTTTGTCTGAGTTTGCCTTCTTGGATACAACTACTGCAGCATAACTAGATAATGACATACCATTTCCTGTTTTTATTTTCTGCCATTTTTGCACTAAATTAATGGAATAAAGGGGTGATAATGAAAGAACAAAGCTGAAATAACGTGCACTGTGGACAGAAAGTACATTGCAATGATTTTTTTAGTAGCTGCTTCTTTGGAGTCGTTTCCATGTTTTAGATGGCTGTGGATCCTGTCTTTATTAAGTGTTGATTGTTTAAATGTATACAAAAAATTATTATTGTACACAAGGGAACAGATTCAAATTATTAGTTATAGTAAACATAACTATGACCTTTGGTTAAGGTCATGTGAAGTAATCTATTTTAATCTTGTGGGTTTTTTCACTTGAGTTTGATGTTTTATTTTTAGGTATGGAGATAAATTTGAAAAACTTCTTATCGTAGACTTTGCACAGCCTCTGGAACATAGTGCCTTGTATGTAGTTGTTGCCAATAAATGTTGATTTTATTTTACTTTTTATTATTACTCTCTTTTCTGTGGTATTTATGTTATTTTGTATTTAAATATAGCACAGTTTTGAAAATTCTGCATATTCAGTGACTTTGTAATTAAAGTAGAACTTGTCTAATTGATCTCTACAATTGTGGATTTCCTTGTTAGAAGTCTCTAATGAAAATCAGGACATTACCATCTGCTCTGCTACTTGGCCTTTCTATCTGATGTGCAGCTGAAACCTTCTTTATGTGTGTCTCCCTATTAGAATGTGAGGGTCTTTGAGAGCCGAAACTGTCTTGTGTTTCTGTTTGTAGCTCCAGCACTGACCACAGTGCTTTGTATAGAGTAAGTACTTAAAAAAGATGCTTTGTTATAGGATCATAGAGTTAAGGTTCATCTGAAGCATAATAGATTTTGCCCTAGGGCCCCTTATTTTAACTTTTTGTGCCCTTAGTTTTCAGTCATGTTTCTTGTAAGAAACACCTTGTTAGATTCTGCTTTCTATTCCATTCTTCTGTCTTCTGTTTTATGGATGAGTTCATCCCATAGAGATAGAATTGGAAAGAATTTGAGAATTCAGAGAGCCAGCTTCCACATTTTACAAATGAGGAAACAGACCCAGAGATTTGCCCAAAATTTCCCAGTTATTACATGTCTGAGGCAGAGCTGAACACAGGTCTTCGTGTTTATAAAGTACATTAGTTAATAAAATAACTTTGCTCAAATCCCTCCATGTGGCTACTGAAGAGATTTTCCTGTTGATTATGCCACTCTTCTACCCAGTAAATTCCAGTTGCCCTCATTGCCTCTAGGATTAAATATAACCTCTTCTGTTGTGTTATTTAATGCCCTCCATTATCTGACCTTACCATAACTTTCCAGCCTTATCATACATTACTCCCTACTTTCCTCCTGCAGCCAAATTGGCTTTCTTTTGATTTTTTACAAGACTCCAGTTACCATCTGTGAGCCTTTGTACTGACTGTTCCCCATACCCAGTAGACACCTTTTTCACTTCCACCATCTAGAATCCCCGGTTTCCCTTGACTTTGTTCAAAAGCCCCTTGTACAATAAACCTTTCCTGATTACTACTCAGGTGCTAGTGGCTGACCTCTCGAAATGACTGTGTGTGTCTGTCTGTCTGTCTGCTTTATAGAATATAAGGTCCTTCAGGGCAGGAGCAACGTAATTTTTGTCTTTGTATACCCAGACCCTGGTAAATAATAGGTGATTAATAAATGCTTATTGACTGGTTGATTGTTCACAACAGCCCCCTCCCCAAGCGAAGTATTAATAATGTCTTACCATATCTATCAAGTAGAAGAGGAAACAGACTCAGAGAGGTTGCCAAATGTCACATAGTTTGTAAGTAGGTGGACAGAGCCCATATTTGACTCAACCCCAAGTCCAGTAAGACACTTCAAGTTTTTTAAAAATGTATGTTGATGCCTTTTTTATGCAACATTCAAGATTCCATATATACTGCCCACTCGGAAACCTTTCTAAAAAAAGCAGTGATGTTAAACTCACAGTGTCTGACAATGTATACAACCTTCGTGGTGTACTCTCCCACCTCTCTAGAGAGAGAAGGGAAGTGCACTTAGTGTTTTTCCTTTATATTCCCCTGAAGACCAGTGTAAAGTGTTTAAGTTTTACTATAGTGACAGCATTCAGATTTCCCAAGAATTAAGTGTTTAAGTTTTACTATAGTGACAGCATTCAGATTTCCCAAGAATTATGTTACTAAGGTATCAATGCCTATTTCAATGAATGAAATGTATACTTTTGTTGTGAGGAGGAAACTGAAGTACAAGAAAATAATGGTTTGCTAAGATAATGAGGCTTATAGAGCATAGATTCCTAAAGTGTCGTGTCGTTCCCCCCCCCAGCAGGGAGGCAGTAGTAGTGTTGG